TGGAAACAACCTAGATGTCCCTCAACTGAAGAACAGATAAAGAAAATGTGGTATATTTACACAGTGAGCATTACTCAGCTATTAAATACAATGACATCATGAAATTTACTGGCAAATGGATGGATCTAGAAGAGATACCTCCTGAGTGAGGTAACCCAGACCCAGAAAGATATACTCACTTATAAGTGGGTATTATATTGAGAACCAGGCTACAACCCACAGACCCAGAGAAGCTAAGTTACAAGGAAAGCCCAAAGGGGTGTGTGTGCATGAATCTCACTGTGAAAGGGAAAGAGAATAGACATTGTCAGTGGAGGGGGATCTGGATCGTGTACAGGGTGGGAGCAAAAAGGATCAGGTGGGGTAGGATGGAGGAAGAGAGTACTGGGAGAGATAAATGGAATCGGGGACATTTCTGGGACGAGCTAGAATCCTAGCGCAATGGACACTCAGAAATCTATGAGGGTGACCCTACCTAGCAATGGGGAATACAGAGCTTGAACCAGGCATTTCTATAACCAGGCAATACTTCCAGTGGAGTGAATGGGACACCAACGCAGCCACAAAACCTTTGGCTGACAATTTGTGCAGCCTACAGGAAGTGCTGGGGTAACAGGTGATGCAGAAATTGTGAGCCTGGCCAACCAATGACTGATCTAGTTTGAGACCTGTACCATGGGAGGGAAGCTCACCTCTGAAACTAGCTGGAGGGCCAAGATCCAGAGATAGGATGGCCCAGAGACCTGGGATAGAACCAAACACAACTGAAAAAAAAAAAGTCAACAAAATGATTCCTAATGATATTCTGTTATACTCAGATTGGCGCCTAGCTCAATGGTCATCAGCGAGGCTTCACCCAGCAACTGATGGCAACAAATGCAGAGATCCACAGCCAAACGTTAGGCAGAGCTTGGGGGCAGAATCCTGTAGAAGAGGGGGAGGAAGGACTGTAGGAGCCAGAGGAGTCAAGGACACAGAATCAACTAACCTGGGCTCACAGAGACTGAACGAAAAACCAGGGAGCCTGCATGGGACCATCTGAGGCCCTCTACATATATGCAACAGTTGTGTAGGTTAGTCTTCTTGTGGGACTCCTAACAGTGGGAGCAGGGGCTGTCTCTGACTCTGTTGCCTGCTTTTGGGCCCTTTCCTCCCACTGGGCTGCTTTGCCCAGCCTTAATAAAAGAGGAGATGCCTAATCTCACTGTAATTATATGCTATGACTGGTTGATATCCATGGGAGGCCTGCCCTTTTCTGAAGAGAAACTGAGAAGAAGGGAGGTGGGGGGAGGGGCTGAGAGGAGGAAGGGGAAACTGCCGTGGGGATGCAAAAACAACAATATAAAATAATAGTTACAGAAAAAATACTTTATCTAATTACGGAGCATAAGACTTAAGTCTGGCGTTCACTATTAAAGCAACAGAAGGAAGCACCACACGGTTAGTGTGTAACCTGGAAATCCAGAAAACATTTAAAATAAATCTAGCACCCATGTTCAAATAATTTCCAAATCTGCAACAAACATTAGGCATGCATCTTATGATTTACAAAGAAAGAAAGGATTAGTGGAAGCGGGAGGAGGTCCTGTGTTCTCTGGGATTGGACGGGGAACCGCAGAGAGATGTAGTTTCTGCATGGACTCTCTCTCTCAGGTGTGAGGGATGGCTATGTCAGGAAAATCGTACATTATAGCTGCAGGAAGAGCCGTGCCAAGTTGGTTGTGACTGGAAAAGCTGGCTGAGGTGTCTAGAGTCAGGATGTCTTGGGGGCTGCTGAGGAATAAGCACGTTACATTGTGCATGCATTACTACACAGAAGATAAAACCAACAGGATCTGTGCAGCGACTCACTGGAGTTTTGTGGACCAGATGCAGACAAGACTCCCTCCTTCCCATCTCCCTCTTCAGTCAAGAGACCAGGAGAGGGCTGAAGATGTCTAGTTGGTATGGTTCTTGGGTAGCATTTAGGAAGCCCTGTGTTCGATTCCTCACACCCCATGGACTGGGTGTGGCGGCATGCATGTACTCCCAGCAGTTGGGAATTGGAGGTAGGAGGATCAGTTAAAACTCAGTGGGTCATTTTCAACAGTACAGCAAGTTTGAGGTCAGCCTGGCCTACATAAGTCCTGACCTCCAAAAACATACACACACACAATAAAATCAGAAACAAAGAAACCAGAGGTGGCTCTGCTTAGCAGATAAAAGGACAATGGTAGCTCTTGCCTTGATAGCCTATCTAACCTCAGATCTTTGAACTTAAGACAATGATAGGCCTCTAGTCCAGTGCCTAGCATCCTAGTCTCCCAACACTTTTGCTCCAGGGAGAATGTTCGTCAGCCACTAGCTTCCTAAGGGCCACATAGTTCTCATACGCTGTTTGATTAAAGAGCACTGAGAGAACGCCAAAGGCTGTAGATACGGGTACTATGATAATAAGTGAGAGGCAGCTTGGTTAACTTGACAGATCCAGGCAGTAATTAGGGAATGATCCAGTCTGGTATGTCCCAAAGAGTGGCAAAGACCTTTAACGCAGAGAGACAGGTCAGAAAATTTGCATCCCACTCCCTTTTGAGACCATAGGAAATGATATTAAACCTTGAGTTTTGAATAAGCGGAGAAAATTCTTTGCTTGGCATCATCTCCCTACTTGTCTGTGTGCCTCTCTGTCTATCTGTCTGTCTACCTGTCTATCTTCAGAGTCAACTTTCCAGGCAATTGGCTGTTCCAAGAGACACTGGGTCCCCATCCCCTGTCAAATCTCAGGTCCTACAGATCTATCAGAATATGACATGCCTGGGAAGCTGTTCCCCTGACGAGAATGTAGTGAGAAGAGGGTAACTCAGGGATACAGATTTTAGGGGCTGCAGGGCTTATGACAATGACGTCACTGCTGCTGCAGAGTGGCCGACTATCCCTGTTCTCCATGCAGAGCCCGATGCTTTCCATTTGCCTGTTCAGTTGTACATTCAAGCCCCCAGATCCCTGAATAAATAGATTTACTTCACAAAGGCCGCTGTAAACCGGCTGTAAAAGGGAACACTGTGAACGTGTATGCGTGTGTATGCTTTTCTCTGCAGTCCACGTTCACAGCTCATTTCACAGACGGCATGCAGATGCGCCCCCCCATCCTGGGTCTCTCCCTAGGCAACCACAGCATCAAAATCCTGAGCACCAGCCTGCTTCTTTCCCTGCATCTTTCAACTCCTACTCCGCCTGCTTCAGAGACACTGCTTCTGGAATGGTCTGAAGCCCCTCCGAGAGTCCACCCACCCACCCTGAGCTTCCTGTCTTCCCAGCTCATCCGGCCATGTTCCCAACTCAGTTCTAACTAGGTTAGCACTGCCTAAAAACAGAGGCAGAAAGGTGGCATTGTCTGTGCAGGCTAAGAGGTGTATCACAGAGGGGTTTAAAAGCCTATGCCTTGCGCATTCTGCTCTCCCTGTCTCCTACTTGTGAATACGGTGTAAGTGTTCAGCTGTTCCTGCCGCTATGCCTTCGCTCTGTCACCACGGACTATAACTCTGAAACTCTGAAATCTGAAAACTGAAGACCAAATCAAGTGCTTCCTTCTATAGGTTGCCTTGGCTGTGGTGTGAAGCAGTAGGTGTCTAACTCACACAGCTACTGTTTCCAATAGATTCAATCACAAATACCCAATATTTGGAGATGCTGATATGATTTTAATAAATCATCAATAAGCCCCCTTTAATATTTCCAGCCCCCCTTTTTCTTTTTGTTTTTTGAGACAGAGTTTCTCTGGGTAACAGTCCTAGCTGTCCTGGAATTCTCTTTGTAGACCAGGCTGGTCTTGAGCTCACAGAGACCTGCCTGTCTCTGCCTCCCAAGTGCTGGGATTAAAGGCATGTGCCATCACCATTTGACCAGTCTTTTCTTTTGGAATGAAAAATCTAGGGAAGAAGCTTTGCATGTGACCCCTCGCCTCATTCCCAACTCAGCCCCCAAACACTTCTAAGCAGAAAAATGGATCTCTGACCATTCCTATCTTTCAGATACCAGAAAGAGCATCGGTGGTATTTAATGGAGAACTTACACATGAAAATCTACTGAGGTAAGCTTTATTTAATTTCCTTGTGTAACCTCCGTTAAAATATCTACTATCAAATGTTAAGCAGCATATTATCAGGGGAATAATGTGACCAGTGGCTGGGACTTTTTCTGGGACTTTCACAATGCTTTGTGAAGAGGAAATGACAGACAGGAAAAGTTAATATGTTCTGAGGGTAGCCAGGGAGGCGTAGGAACAAACTCACATTAAATTTCTTCAGAGGGTGAAGGGATTTTTCTGAAGATGATGTGACAATGGTAAGACTGAGGAGAAGGAGCTTCAAAAGGGGTTTCTCTCTCTCTGATCCGCCCTTCCTTTGCCAGTCCCTGGATATGAACACCATTTGTTCTTGGGCTTGGGCAGTGAGCTTGGCTAAGGGAAACTGTGCTGTTAGGTAACACCAGCTGCACCCTCGGTTCTCTTCCTGTCTCCTTACTCGTCCTTGCTGGTACCTTGCTTCAATTCAGGCCACACCTTATGCTGGGTAAAAAGCCTAGCACCGCGGATCTGTAGAGACTGGGGCATGATGGAGCATGCCCAGAGGCTTGGCCACTCAAAGCCACGCCTAGTGAGGAATTCTCAAAAGAATTCTAGGAGTGTCACTGAAGCACACAAGAGCTGGCTTGGGAAGACCGAGAGTCTTCTGAGAGATTCAAAGGGCTTCAGCTTGAGCTAAGTGGCAAGAACTTCAGGAGGAAATGGATCAAAGGTCAGGACAAGGAAAGACCCTCCAGGGAGCTGCTCAAGAGAGAGCTCCCTTTCTCCGGATGCATAATCTTCAATTGCTGATGGAACTAGAATTCGGGGGGGGGTCCCTAATATTAAGTCAAATAGACCATTATTCTTTTACAGCTTCAGATTTATTTTTAAAACTATCTCCACGTTGCTTTATGTGCGGGAGATCTCTCTCCTTTGTGATTAAAACGGCTTCTGCTGGGAAGGCGAGCAGGGATGTGAAGAGATAATTGCCGCATGGTATGAGAAGTGCCACCCGAAGTGATGCCTCCGACAGCACAAAAGAGGGAGTGACGGCCGCTGCCGAAGCGGGAGAAGGTTTTCTATGAAGGAGGTGGGTTTTCAGATCCGTCTTCTACAATTAGACCGATACGTTCACATGGGAGAGCTAGGTTTTGCAGAACGCCGTGTTTGTGTTCACGAGGCAGGAAGCATTGAAGCTCAGCGTTGGTATAATTACGAGAGAAACTGCTGAAGATGGGTAGCGGACGAATGCGAAGAAAACTGTGGTTCTAAAAGGTTGTGACGCTGGCATATGAGGTGGCTGGACGTTGAGGCCACCGAGGGAGACTCTTGCTAGAGGAAGCTGGCCACAGGGAGCAAGGGTGGAACAGGCCATTGTTTCGGTGGGAAAATTGATACTGGGATCATGAAGATCCCACACAGGATCAAGTGAGAGCGGCTTAGAGCTATCAGCTGGCGTGGCCGAGTAGGTGAGGAGAACACGACAGGAACAGGAGAGAGTCGAGAGCTGGATTTCAGTCATTACGCTCGCGGAGCACCAAGTTGGAATGGTCTGAGGAGCTGAAGCCCAGTAGAGAGAGGTGGCTATGTAATATCATGAGAAATTGTCACGATTCTTTCTCAGGAATTTCCCAATTGAGCTGGGTGTGACGGTACAGGTTTGTAGTCTCAATGCCTGGGAGGGAGAAGCAGGTAGATCTCTGTGCGGTCTAGGCCAGTGTGTATAGCGAGATGCTGTCTCAACGATTACAACAAAAATTCCAAAACATATATAACAGCATAGGGGACAACCATGATGTTACTATTAAGCTTCAGAAATGATTACCAACTATGACTCAACTGTCCCTCTGTTTCCTATCTAGTTTATCATCTTAAATATATTATTTTAATTTCTTTGAGATTTTCATATCTGTGTACAGTGTATTTTGACTGGATTCATCCCACACTCCTCCCCCATTCTCCCGTGAGCCCCTCTCCCCACCTCTTTGCTCCCCTCCTGATTTTACGCCGGCCTTAGTTAGTGTCTATACTGTGCCAAAACACCATGGCCAAAAGCAGCGTGGGCAGGAAAAGGTTAATTTCATTTTTCAATTCTCAGGTCACACGCCTTCACCAAAGGGAGTCGGGGAAGGAACTCAAAGGAAGAACCTGGACGCGGAAACTGCAGCAGGAGCAATGGAGAAATGCTGGTTACTGACTGACTTCCTCAGTTTGCTTTTTTATTCAACTCATGACTGCTTGTCCAGGGTGGCGCTGCCCACAGTGAGCTAGTTCCTCCCACGCCAATCATCAACAGAGAACATGTTTGCCAAACATGTCTACAGCCTGTAGCCCAGTGTTATGGATGAATTTCTAAATTCTTTCTAAGAAGAAGCTAGTGTCATGTTGACGGGAAACTACCCAACAAAATGTCTTTTTTTTTTTATTTTAGTGAGCTACCGAGTCCAGATTGTGCCGTCCCTATATACAAGGGTGTGGTGTTTGCCAAAATGTCTCTCCTTCTCCCAGTAACCATTAGCTTATGTATAACTCCTCAGGGAGGGGAGGGGCCTTGTGAGCCCCTCCCCTTTCCACAACAGTGTGTTTGTGGGCTCCATCTTGTGCCGATCATGACAATTACTGTGAGTTTAAGAGTGAGTGGCTGTGTCATGATCAGAAGTCAGCGTTCCACACCGCTCTTCTTCTCATCCCTCTGGCTCTTATATTCTTTCTACCCCTTCTTCTATGATGTTTCCTGAGCTGAGGCTTGGAAGGGGTAAGATAGACGTTCTGTTTATGGCTGAGTGTTCGCCACTTATTCTTACCACTATGGCCAGTCATGAGCCTCGGCAGTTACTCTACCCACTGCAGAAAGAAGCGTCTCTGGCCAAAGCTGGTAGCATCACGTGTCATGGGGCCATACCATAGCCATTTAGAGAGCAATTTGATAGATTCATCATTTCCTTTTGGATAATGACAGTAGTAGCTTCCCCTACTAGGTCTATGGCCTCCTAGTCAAGGGCTTTTAACTGGGTTTTCACTACTAGATATGAATTCCTTCCCATGGAGTTGGCCTCAAACAAAAAGTGATTTGTTGTGGCAGAAATTCCTGCCAGCCTGGCACTAGAGGGTTAGCAAGCAACCCCAGACCCACCCCCTCACCCCTCTACCTTACCCACCTCCAGTCATGAACCCCCACTGGGTCATACCTGCCCTAGCTCCCAAGTTAGCACCCAGCCTAAATTCATCCTTTGTGGCCTTTTGTGAATCTTGTCTGAAAGTTTCCCATGGATACAAAGTCTGTGCAAAACTTGGTCAGAGGGGACCCGGAAAGCCGTGGTACCCCATGAATCAGGTATCTGCACCCGACACTGTATTGTCGGGAAGCTTCATTCAGTTTATTCTGAGACAGGGAAACCTACCAGCTAAGCTGCCAAAGGGCTAAGGGAAAGGGGTTCAGTCCACAGAGGTGGAGTCCCCTGCCGCTGCAGACGCTAAGTTCATTCTCAAGGAGTCTCCGGGTCTTCATTTCATGGACCCACGCAAACCCACATACTCGCCGTTTGTTATCCCCCTAATACGCCCGCTGCTGTTTCACTGCTGGGGACATCTGGCTTGGGCTGTGAGTCGTGTTGCATTCCAGGTCCACACCTGAGTTGATGGCATTACTCCCCAAGCAGCCCGCAGAGCATTTTCCAGGGCTATGAGGGCTGGGCAGCGGGAAGGAAGCTTCCAGCCAGGTTCCTGCTTGATTTCTGTGTTCCCTCCACCGTGCTTTTTAGCAATTACAGTCTCCTCGCTGTTTCTCATGACTTTTCATGAGCTGATGTCATTTCTGTGCTTGTGGTCCTGAATTTGCTGCTTAATTTTAGGCTCAGGCCAAGTGTCTTTGCTTCAGAGATGAATGGCTTCCCAGCACCCCAATATTTTCCTAGACTTGAGATAAGTTAATCAGCTCAAGGTAATGAAACATTTTCCAGGTTCAGGTAGAGCCTTGCATCTTACTTTGGAGATGGTTCATAAAGAGTTTATTTGGTGGTTTTGGGATGTTCAAACTCCATCCCCTCTCCCTCAGTGTTCCAAAGCACACGCTGACCCTGAACTTGCTCCTGGAGTATGGCCTCTGATTATCTGTGCTTCTGTATCAAGCTTTGGAACACACAAGAAGCCTGAAACTAACACTGATTTTGGAGGAAGACCTGCTACATTGTATCGGTTTGATCTCTGACGCAGCTAGACACAAAGAACAAAGCCTTGGCCACCATAGCTGTGGTTTGAGTGTTTTATCTCCAAAGGTTTCTTAAGATGAATCTTATTCCCCTAAGTAGAGGTGTTGGGACCTTTAAGCAGGTGTGTGTGGGGGAATCCAGAGGGAAGTAATTAGGTCAGCAGGAGAATCGTGCTCAGAAGAGATAAAAGTAGTTCTCACAGTTTCTGTAAGTGCGGGCTGCTATCGAAGGCGTAGGGCTGCCTCCTGATTTCTCTCACATCCCTTCTTGCCACGTGATCTCTCACTTTCACACATGCTCCTACCACCATGTGGTCTATGATGTCAGAACACAGCTATGGCGGCCCTCACCAGAAGCCAAACCAGTGGGTTAACCTGACGTGGACTCTGTCTCAAAATGGTGACCTAATCACACCCTCTTTTCTTTATCTGATGCTCAGCTTCGGAAAAACGGAAGTTACCCAGACTCTGGGAGCTCTATGGGTGGTAATTAATTGTTCTTGGGAGAACTGAGTTCTGTCAGAGGACTGGAACAAGTGCCTGGAGTCTTCTCAATTCTGCCTGTTGCTCAGCTCGTTTTAGGCTGTTTCTGTCTCTGTCCTTCCACTGTTATAAGCTGTGACTGTAAAAAAAAAAAAAAAAAAAAAAAACAAACAAACACCTTTTCTAAATCCGCGTCACCAAACACGGGAGTCACCATGTGTCTTACTTAGATTTCTATTGCTGCGATAAAACACCATAGCCAGAAGCAGGTTGGGGAGGAGAGGGCTTCTCTGCTTTACACGTTCACATCATAGTTCATAACTGAAGGAAGTCAGGACAGGAACTCCAACAGGGCTGGAACCTGAAGGCAGGAGCTGATGCAGAGGCCATGGAGGGGTGCTGCTTACTGGCTTGCTCCTCACTGCTTGCTCAGCCTGCTTTCTTATAAAACCCAGGACCACTACCCCAGGGATGAATGGCACCACCTATAATGGACTGGGTCCTCCCACATCAATCACTAATTAAGAAAATGCCTTACAAATTGATATTAGAGACACATTTTTCTTAATTGAAGCTCCCTCCTTTCAGATGACTCTAAATGTATCACGCTGACATAAAACCAGCCAGGATACCTTGGTAGTTCCTCTCACTGGGTTCCCAACTAAAACTAGAATACATAAAAAAAAATAATATTCAAAAACTCAAATCTCAGAAAATCATAAAAGTTAATGTAACAATGTAACAAATACCCACATACCTATCTCCCAGAGTGTTTCATTTATCTAATTATTCTTTATTAATAAAAAAACCATGAGCCAACTGTCAGGGTAAGAACCTGAATGATCAGAGAAGCAGCAGAGAAACAACCAGTGACCTCTTATCTCTTCTGTTCCTTCATCCAAAAGGACTGAGATTCTCCCGAAGGCCCGCCTTATTACTTCCTGTCTATTTGTCCTCAGTCCTCTAAAACCTCTATGGTTAATTTTGATCAGCTAGTAGCTAACTCCACCCCCTGATTAAAAACAAACTTTATCGTCAAAATGTGATCAAAATATCACACAACAGATGAATACTTTTTATTATATATGCTCCGATTCTACTTGGTCCTTTTCAATTATGAAATAAAACATAATATAGACACATCAAGTTTCCTTTATATACCCACCCTGGCCCTGGTCCATGAGGTTGGTCAGTTGTGGTGTATATTTTTTTAACATTTATTTTTATTTTCTGAACATAGTTTTTGCTTGCATGTATGTTTATGCGAGGGTGTCAGGTCTCATGGAACTGGAGTTGCAGACAGTTGTGAGCTACCATGTGGGTATTGGGAATTGAACCCGGTTCCATTTGGAAGATCACTCAGTGCTCTTAACCTCAGAACCATCTCTCCAGCCCAGTGGTGTATTTTGAGGGGGCAATTGATACTGTCTTCCTGGATATGTGTGTATCCCTTCATGAGTCACAGGGGAACTTTGCTATCTTCTTCTCAAGTTTTGACAAGCTAGTGAAGCTGTCATATTGACTCCAAAAGCAAACTGAGGCGTGCTGGCCGGATGTCAGATATGGTACCAAGGAGCTCACAGTGCCAGTCCTCTGCTCTCATGGGACTTCTAACCTAATCTGGGCTCACTGAATTTTCTGTGAGCTTTCTCTCTAGTTCTAGAATGCCATTCCTTAATATTGTGGTTCTTGACCTTCCTTGTACTGTGACCCTTTAATACAGTTCCTCATGACCCCAGCTATTAAATTATTTTAGTTATTACTTCATAATAACTATAATTATTGCTCTTGTTATGATTGTAATTTAAATATCTGTATTTTCTGATGGTCTTAGGCGATCCTGTGAAAAAAATTGTTTGACCTCCACAGGGGGTCACGACCCACAGGCTGAGAATTACTGCCTTAATAATTTAAACATTCTTCCAAAATATCATGCATAAGTATGGCAAGAAAAGAAAGTGAGGACCAGGCCCAGGGACTACTCAGAGCTGAGCACTTCTCAGGTCCCAGGATACCCTGCTCAGAGTGTGGACAGCTCAGCTGCAGAAAGGCAAAGCAATGTTCTGCTCCAACGCTTGTTCATGAAGCCTCTCACCTCCCTGCTCCCTGCATGTCTGGCCCAAACCTTGCTGTTTTAGGACCTACACACATCACAACAGCTATACTCAAGAGAAACACAAGTGAGACCGGTCCATCAGTCATCAATTAGTCTTGATGAACTCTTCTGGGCAGGCCTCTGTCTCTCCATCTAGAAGATAGAAGGCTTTAAAAGACTGGTCCATCTAACTCTCATCCTACAAAGCAAACAGTAACTACAGAAACAGGTTCAACTCAAAATGTATCACAGATCTGAATGTAAGTCCTGGAATGCTAATACTATCAAAACAGGAACGACCAGGGTTCAGTATCCTTAGTCATTGAGATTACATCCTGTTTTCTTTTCTTTTCTTTTTTTTCCCCATGGTTTTTTGATACAGAGTTTCTCTGTGTAACAGCCCTGGCTGCCCTGGAACTTAACTATGTAGTCCAGGCTGGCCTGGAACTCAGAGATCCAACTTCCTCTGCCTGCTGAGTGCTAGGATTAAAGACATGTGCCACCACTGCCTGGCTGAGATCACAGCTTATTCTAGTCAGAATGGC